GAGTTGGTAAATTTTGGGTCTGATCCAGCATCACCGGGTTTATCTTTTGTATCTTATGCCTATTTCAAGGCAGACATGTCACTGGTTAGGGATTTGGCTAGGTCAGGAATAGAGAAAGCCCCCACTCTTCAGTGATAAGCTCTATGAAGCCCTATAAGGGCTATCTTTATCAACTCAAGAAAGACATGGGCATCATTATTGACAGCTCAATAAAAACCTCTGCTCAATATGCAGTTGAGGTCACTGCCATGGAGAGTATTGGAGGCAGAGAACTTGACATGATTCAAAAAAGGACTGGACCCTTATATGGGTGTCAAGACTATCCAGAGTTATCATAGTTAATGATAACAAAAATTGTGGAAAGATATTAAACCTCATGCTTCAGGGTTTAAGCCAATCTCTAAGTACATGAGATCAGGATGAGACCTAATGCGAGGGGCAGATTATCCCACATCTACTACTGCAGCATTCCCACACCTTCCATTGAAGCATCTGGTACTGGCCACTGTCAGAGATGAGATACTGGACTAAACGGATCTCAGGTCTGCTCCCGACTGGCAATTCCTATGTTCCTACCAATGCACCTACATTTATATGTCACTTCTCACTGTAAAGTCTAAGCACTTTTAGAGAGTACTGGAACTCCAGTTCGGGTACCTTTTGAGTAAGGGCTCAGTCCTGCATCTCTTTTTGTGAGGTGCAGAGCACCTTTAATTCCCAGTGCCGTCGGTGGAAGTTGAGAGCTCCTTTAGCATGATCAAGGTGCTAAAAGAGCACTCCAGGAAGACAAGGCCCCTGTGGAGAAGCTAAATTAATTCTTTGCATTGTTCTTCACTGCAGAGGATGTGAGGGAGATTCCCACACCTGAGCCATTCTTTTTAAGTGACACATCTGAATAAGTGTCCCAGATTGAGATGTCAATAGGGGTGGTTTTGGAACAAATTGATAAATTAAACATTAATAAGTCACCAGGACTGGACAGTATTCACCCAAGAGTTCTGAAGGAACTCAGATATGACATTGCAGAACTGTAGTATCTAACCTATTGCTTAAATCATCCTTTGTACCAATGACTGGTGGATAGCTAATGTGACAACAATTGTTTTTAAAAAAGGCTCCAGAGATAATCCTGGCAATTATAGGCTAGTAAGCCTAACTGGTGGATTGGTTGAAACTATAGTAAAGAACAGAATCATCAGATACAGATGAAAACGATATGTTAGGAAAGAGTCAACATGGCTTTTGTAAAGGGAAATTGTTCATCGCTTATCAGTTAGAATTAGAAACATAGAAACATGTGGACCAGGGTGATACAGTCAATGCAGTGTACTTGGACTTTCAGAAAGCTTTTGAGAAGGTCCTTCACCAAAGGCTCTTACGCAAAGCAGGCAGTTATGGGCTAAGAGGGAAGGTCGTCTCATGGATCAATAACTGGTTAAAAGATAGGAAACAAAGGTAGGGATAAGCTGTCAGTTTTCACAGTGCAGAGAAGTAAATAGCGGGGTCCCCCAAGGATCGGTGCTGGGACTAGTGCTGTTCAACGTAATCATAAATGATCTGGAAAAAGGGGTAAACAGGGAGGCAGCAAAGTTTGCAAATGGTACTAAATTACTCAAGATAGTTAAGTCCAAAGCTGCGTGCAAAGAGTTACAAAGGGATCTCACAAAACTGGGCAAGAAAATGGCAGATGAAATTCAATGTTGATAAATGTAAAGTTATACACATTGGAAAACATAATCCCAACTATACATATAAAATGATGGGGTCTAAACCTCTCAAAAAAGAGATCTTGGAGTCATTGTGGATAGTTCTCTGAAAACATCTGCTCAATGTGCAGCAGCACTCAAAAAAACCTAACAATGTTAGCCATGATTAGGAAAGCGGTAGATAATAAGACAAAAAATATAATGCCACTATATAAACCCATGATACACCCACACCTTGAATACTGCTTCCAGTTCTCGTCACCCCATCTCAAACAAGCTATATTAGAATTGGAAAAAATACAGGGAAAGGCAGCAAAAATGATTAGGGGTATGGAACAGCTTCCATATGAGGAGAGATTAAAAAGACTGGGACTGTTCATGTTAGAAAAGCGATGACTAAGAGGGGGAGATGATAGAGTTCTGTAAAATCATGAATGGTGTAGAGAAAGTGAATAAGGAAGTATTATTTACCCCATAACAAATTAACCAAAGGTCACCCAATTACATTAATAGGCAGTATGTTTACAACAAACATAAGGAAGTACTTCCTCACACAATGCACAGTCAACCTGGGGAACTCAGTGCCCAAGGATGTTGTGAAGGCCGAAAGTATAATGGCATTCAAAAAAGATTTGGATAAGTTCATGGAGGGTAGTTTCATCAATGGCTGTTAGCCAAGATGGTCAGGGATGCAACCCCATGCTCTGGGTGACCCTAAACCTCTGACTGCCAGATGCTGGGACTGGATGACAGGGGCTGGATCATTCAATAATTGCCTTGTTCTGTTCATTCCCTTTGAAGCATCTGGCACTGGCCACTGTCAGAAGACCGGATTCTGGGTCAGATGGAGCATTGGTCTGACCCACAGCAGTTGTTCTTATGGGTTTTTTATTTCTTGTCACTAACTCTCAAGGTAAAATTTTCAAAGGTGCTTCAGTGACTTGGGATCCAAAGTCCCATTTTTAAAAGTGACTTAGAGCCAGAATGAATTTGTAAATCTGAAGATGGGCATCTAGTGGGATTTTCAAAGGCATCTCAGTGAGAGATTGACTCTACACCCAGTGATTAGGGCATTCACATAGGATGTGGGAGACTCAAATTTAAGTCCCTGCTCCATATCTGGCAGAGTGGGGATTCAAACATGGGTTTCCCACATCCCAAGTGAGTGCCCTAACTACTGGGCTATTGGATATTCAACATGACACATCAACTGTCATGTGAGGGAGGCCAGAGCCTGTACACATGCTCTGAGATCTCCTTCAGGCTCAGGCCCTGCTGGCGAGATAGGCGGGGGGCACACAGTAAGAGAATCCCACTTGGGCTTTGGTTGAGCTGCTTGTGAGCTGTGGGTCAGCATCAGGTCTTAGGTGGCTTTGCACATGCCCATCAGAAGAAACTTAGGTGTCTACGGAGGTAGGTAGCAGCTAAGTGGTGGTTTTGAGAATGTCCGTGATGCTGGATGTAGGCACCTAAAGAGGCAGCTAGGCACCCATTACCATTGTGAATCTAGCCCTTAAGTGCCTAAGACACTTTTGAAAATGAAATTTAGGAGCCTGACTGGGAGTAACAAAAAGTCTCCGTTGTACTAAAATTTGTTTGGAAATGCAGAGTGGGTATTCTGCAGTGGGTTTGTGAGCAACTTCTCTATGTTTGAAACCACAGCTCTGAGTTCTGTGTATTGTGATGCAGTAATGAAACATTGCAGTGACGTTCCACAGCTGAGTGCAAATTCCCAAACTAGGTCTGTCACTCGTGTGATTAACAGATTTATGCACAAATGAATGTAAGGGGGACATTTCACTTCTGAAGGCCATGAAGCACGCCAACCAGAAAGATGAATGCAGTAACTCAAGTCACTCTGTCACACAAATCCAGGTTGTCCCATTTAGTTTCCCTTCCATTCATAAATCCGTGGTCAACTTCTGAAACTTAAAACAGATCCCGAGAGGTCTTTGAAAATTCACAAGGCTTTTCAAATATGAGTTTTGTATTTAAAATCACTTCAGCTTTTAGCAGTTGTAGCTGGATTCAGCACTTTTATCCTTTGCCACAGTCCCTCCCTAAAAACACACATACACTCACTCTTCAAGATGCCTGTCCTACTCCATGCTGTTCTGTTCTATCCAAGCTCATAGGCCTCGCCCATCACTGTGGTATCTGAGCATCTACAATTCGATGCTTTGCAAATAATTTCTCATTTTCAGTATAAATTTGCTTTTGGGGACCCATCTGGCACATGGCCAAGAGGAACCCCTAGTTTGTGCATGTGAAAGTGGGAAACACAATTGGCAAGACAGCCCTGAATTTTACCATGGGACTTTGGGGCTTGCCGCTCTGAGTACAGTGGTCAGGAAGGAGAAAGAAGAGATGGAGAGGATTTGTGGGGGAGGAGAGAATGAGATTTATAGGAGGAAAGAAAGGTTGAGGGGAAGAAGGGAAAGAGATTGTAGGGGCAGAAGCATTGACGAGTGGGGGGGGGGAATCAAGAGAGCTGCATGAAAAAATAAGTATGTTTTGCAAAAAAATCTAAAACCATTTTCCCCAACATTTTTCAGTTTCCTGGGAGAAGGAGGCTCCTCTTTTCATTCCCCTTTTTCCTCATTTCCCCCTTTTTTTCCATTTTGCCACTAGAAAGGGGGGCAGGAAAGGAGAGGAAAAACAAAATATGAAAAAAATAGTTTTACTCTTTTTGGTGAAAAACAAAAAATAAAAAAAACTTCATGGAAAAGTTGTTTCTTTTTTTTTAAAAGGTCAATTAAAAAAAAAAAAAAAAAAAGGGCTCATGAAAAACTTGAACCAGCTCAACAAGGATCTGATCCAGGCATGATTCTGCAACCCTGGCTCTCTCTGAGCAGTACGTCACTCTGTGAAATGTCCTGTGAACTGCTTACTCACAATGAAGCTTTGAAGTCAGCCAGAGCCTGGGGGCTCCCCCGAGACCGACTGCTCGGTAGTGTGAGCTTGGGATTCACCATCTGCCCCACAGATTTCAAGGGGACACCCTGCTCAGTAAGATGCTACTCATTGGGAATAGCGGTAGCAGAATCTGGCCCTTAACGTTCTGTGCCTCCATCCTTGGGACACCATATCATTCAGGTTCTGCTGCGCTCACCTAACCTTTCCTTCTCAGAGCAATTAAGCCTGATCCTGCCCCACTGAAGTAAATGGGAGGAGCATTGCCATGGACTTTTATAGACACAGGATTGGGCCTTTAAAGAACAAGCACCTGGTGTCATTGAAAGAATCCCCCACTCACCAATATGTTTACCGCTGTGATGTGTCATTTCTTTCCAGGAGTAATAACCAGGAGGGAGGATTCAGAAGACTTTCCAACCAGAGTTCCATCCATTCTTGGCAAAGGTTGCATGATCCAGATGAAGACTGCAGCTTTTTGAAAAGACACCTTTTCAAGACAAGAGTTGGCAGTGGGACTTTCTCAATCTCTGAAGAAAAAAAAAAAATGGAGATGTCTTTTTTTTTTAAGCCAGCCACCTTTTAGTATGTGCAATTTATTTAGCACTTTTCCCTTTGCTTAACTGGGAAATGTTACCCTCTCGGCTCATGTTGTACAGTCATTTTGTTGTTGTTGTAGCTGTTGTGCCAAAGACTTGATGGAGCTTCTACACTGTGTCTAGTTTTGCCTTAAATGTTAAATCCTTGAGCCAAAGAAAACTCAGAAATTCCGTTTAGGTAATGTTGAGTGGGCCAGTTTAATCAGTGACAAATCTGAATTTCTGAATCCTTCTCTAAAAGTTTCCTCTTTTTTTTCTCCTGTTCATATCTATCTACTTGCAGCCCTGGAACCAGCATTCACAGCCGGAAAAAACCAGGACACACCAACACTTGCTCCAGAGTTGATCTCTCTTTCTTTCAGCGATTTCATTGTTCTACTTCTTTGGCAATTACCTGGTTTTCTTCCTGCTGGGAAACACGTGCATAGGGTAGAAATATTGACACAAAGTGAGAGCTGAAACCAGATCTATGCTTTTTAAATATAAATATATCAATAAATAAAAAGTGCCACGTAAAGCAATAAAAAAAAAAATCAATAAGACAGTTCAGATAGGCAGCATGGTGTGTAGCAAAACAATTCAGTAGTTGTTTCGGTTTTGTGAAGTCATTTTTGGCTGTTTTTTTTTTTTTTTTTAAGTAGTTAAAAACCCATGTAATGCAAAGGCATTTGAATCCTATACTGTATTTTTCGCTTCAAATTGAAGTAAAAAAATTAAGAACCATTTGCTTGGAGTAAGCAAACTTTATAGGTAATGCAGTTCATATGCAAGACATCTGCCAGTGATGGAGGACAGAATTCAGTGTCAGAGTAAAAGAATATGGGTTTGTAAAGAAAGGAGATTAACATATTTTGTTTTCACTTAAGGGTAAAGGTTATACCTCAGGGGACAGATTCAGATCTCAGTTACACTAGTGTAAATCAGGTTTACTTACGCTTGATTTACTCCAGTGTAACAGATCTCAATCTGGCCCTGTGTGTGTATGTCTGGAGTTGCGTGGGGGAGGAGGGGTCTCTTCTCTTCATTATATGAACATGTAACTCTTAGCAGCCTCAGCAGGAATTATGCGTGTGTGCAGAGGGGAGATCAGACTCTGTGCTACTAAACCATTGACCTGATATCAATACAAAATCCTGAACTCAACAGTTGCCATCTGTTTATTTTTCTGTCTAAGCTCACCAACTTAAAGAGACCTCTCCTGGCTTTCGTGGCCCCTGAGAAGGTGGTATATGAAGGCTGAGTGGCTGCATGGTATCCGCCCTGAAGAGCGTCTGACCCTCCGTGACAGAGCACTGGACTCTGGGTTCAGGGCTTGTTCACTGGAATGCAGGTTTCCAGTGAGGGCATGGGAGAATTCCCAGTTGAAATGCCTGAGGCGCCCTTGCATGATACTTCCCATTCAAGGGTATAAATACATCTCCCACAGCCCGCACAGTGCTTCGGAGTCACAGCATACTTGAGCAATGCTACCAGAAGCGGAGCAACCACCCAGAAATCTCCTGTGGGTTGTTATCAGCAATCACTATAGGGATACTGGCGGGAATTGCTGCAGCTTTGAGGATCCACTGCTGAGAGGTACCAGGAAGATGGGAGGGGGAGGTATGAACTGATGGATTTAGTACAGTAGAGGAGAATTAACGGAGCTGATAGAAAAACTGGGAAGGAATTGAAGGATTGAGGGGCAGGGAGGAGGGAACACCATAACATGAGCGAATGTGGTTACCTAGGGGTGCTGATGGACATTTTGCTCTGGGGCCTAGCGACAAACTCTGCTTCAACTAGCAGTAAACCTGCCCTCCCATTGGGTAAATGCACAGAATTCGGCTTGGAACCACCGGTGGGAGATAAGACTGACACAGTCAGCCCATGCTGTTTTAGATGCAGTTGGGGTAGCACAGCCAGTTCTCTGTTTGATCTGGAGTAGAGTTGCATGAAAAATTCAGAGTGGGCACTTTTTAAAGAAATTTAGTTTCCTTTTCTGATCACAAATTGTCCAGAAGCAGTTCACCATTTTGTAAGGTGTTAGTTACTAATGATTAATTACTCATTATTCATTACTTGCTAATAGTTCTTTTTCAGGAACTAGTGCATGAGCAATTTGCTGCAAATATGCAGGAGTCACAAGCTGAGCTGTACTGCTGCATTCTGGTTGGATATCTAGGTCACATGGTATTGCGTGTGCTCTGATTAGGGGGAAGATAGAATCAGGATTCAGACTTACAAATTCCAAAACTCACTTCCTTCTAATATTCTCTACCACTCACATTAAATTTGCTGCTCCTGCCATAAAGTCCTGCAGAGGAATGTTCGCCAAAAGCTAATACTAATGGAGTACCGCCAGAACAAAAGTAATGTCAGGTCTTCAAATGTCCATAAAATATTTTGTAGATGTTCACTCAGCTCTACTCTGGACTCTCAATGGGATACATTTACCTAAAACTAGGGAACTACAATAGTTCTTGCCCAACACCACCGCATTACAACACCATTGCCAGCAAAGTTAGCAATATGGCAATATTGATAGCCCTAAGCCATGTCTTCACTGAGAATGAATGTGAGTTTTTACCATGGGATAACTAACACATGTGTGAGCTATGCCATTGTAAAAACATAGTGGAGACAAGGCACTGGAGTTTTTTCTGCGAGGTAAATTAGGCAAGGTCACCTATAGGAAGGAGTATAGTGCTGACCTTGACTAGCTGCCTCCTGGTAAAGGCTACCAGTGCTTTATCCGAGATAACTACCCAGTGTTTGTTATCTCTCTGTAAAAAAGACACCTTTGTGCCAGTGAAGACAAAGCCTTAATATAAACGCTCCATTGGCTGTTACACATTTGTAATGCTATCTCAGTGAGCTGATCTAAGAGATGACATACGTGCCTACCACCACCATGCACTCTGCAGAGCATATCCGAAGGGAAATTCCATTGGCAAGTGGACTTTTCCCTTGCAATAGCCCAAATAAATACATGTGTTGAAGGTATGGGAAAATGGGAATACGAACTGTGCGTATCTGAATTTTAAAAGAGAGCCCTCCCCCACCTTGCCCTTATTTTCAATTTTTGGGTTCAGTTACACAAAATCTTGAGATTTGCAGGGTTTAAAGTAAAGAACAGGACACAGCCCTGAAGCTGCATGTTTCCTGGTTGCTTACTTTTGCGCCCTGAAGCTGAACTTGTTCCTCGACACTGCTGTCTTTTTAATTTACACGTGAACAATTTGCCAGAACTCAACTGTAATTGACCATGAACTTCCATAATGGAAAGAGGCGACAACATGTTCAATAAGTAATGACGAGCTGATCCAGGCGAAAGGGTTTCTAGTTTGATAACGCATTTACTACAGCACAGAGTGGTGCTCACCAGGACTACTAAATCTAGCCACTATAGGCTCACGGAGCCAGATTCTGATTTCGATTACAGCAGTTTAAATCCAGAGCACAGTAACTACAGTAAAGTCAATGGAATTTTTGCAGATTTACCCCAGTATATTGTACCTGAGATCAGATTCTGGCCTCCTGGGTGTTATGGACTATAATGCAAAAGGTAAGGTATGCCATGCCAATAACAGCACACATCATCTGTACTTAAAGCACCACACCTTGTAAGTGTTCACACAGCACCCCTAGTATATGATAGCATCTGCCCTGGTCAGGCACGGTACCACTCAGGTCTAAATGATCTCTGAATGACTTTAGCCAACATGAAGATTTCAGAGATATTTAACAATGAAAGGAGATCTTAAAAATGTGACAACACTATCACCTCCATCTCCCCATTGTGAGTTTTCAGGGGGCGTGAAATGGACCTTAAACTATGTGAAACAAACAGAGGTTGTATGTTTCAATAGCAAAGGATTCACAGCAGCATTCCATGAGAGCTACTGTACCTGCATGTTAAATAAATGTTTTGACCTCTTGAGGTCCCTTCCAACCCTGATATTCTATGATTCTATGATTGATATTCTATGACACAAACAACTCATTGAGATGTTACCTAGTCTTGTACCAGAATGCCGATGTAGCAGCAGCTATAGATATAAAGCCGAATTTTGCTCTCAGCTATCCTAGTATGTAACTAACTATATTCGGTGGAGTTAGTCCAGATTTACACTGGTCTCACAGAGGGCAGAATATAGCCCATATTCTGGGATGATTTACGTCTCAGGAGATCCTATTGACTTCAGCAGAACTCCATACATTGTATACTAACACTGTATCTCATGCATAATGTAAAAGCACACATACAAGAATAGGGCTGAAGATAAGAATCCTTCCTCAATACAGAAATCCTCTTTCAACAGTTCTGTAAAACCACTCATGAAGAAAGAGGACAACCTCAGTAAAGAGACCCCAGGTTGCAAATGTAGTTTTGCCAACTCTTGTGATTTTATCCCAAGTCTTGCAATATTTGGTGGTTTTCTTAAAGCCCCAGCCCCTGAAGGGAGGTAATTAGGTGAAAATCTCATCTTTCATTTAAAAAAAAAAAAAAAAAAAGAGTTTCTAGACATAATGGTTACCGAGAAAAGCTTGAGAGTGTGAACCCAATACACCCTAAGGACACAAAGCTAGATGGCAAATGGAATGAACCCCAAATATTTTTTAAAATCTCATGATTTTTAAGCCTGTCATATTGGGGGATCCTGACTCATGATTTTTGAATGCTTGAGGTTTGTAATCCTGCATATAGCAGAGAAGAAATTTAGTGCTTCCACAGGCATGGAAGTTTAGTGGTAAATAATGTCTTGAAATACACCCTGTGCAACCCCATTGAGACCAGAGAAAATCAGTAAATTAGGATGGATTTAGCCCTCTGTATGCTTTTGGGCTGGAGCATCTGGCCATAGAGGAAACCGATTCAATGTGTTTAGGGAGACACATCTATCTAATCTCATGTATATAAAAGACACTTAGCACCAAGGTATCTAAGCAGCAACTCTAAGAACCACCTAATTCTAACTAAACCTCATAACATTAGGAAGAATGCCCTGATTCTCCTACTGCATAATCCTATTTACTTCAAGGGAGTACCCCTGATTTACACCCCTGTAAAAGAGAGGATAATCCAGCACTATGTATCAGATTTTACAAGGTATTTAAGCACTTAAAGATACAATACAGATAGGCACCTATAGGGAATTTTGCAAATCCCACCAGGCACCGATCAGCACCTTTAGTCATCTAAATACCTTTAAAAATCTGGTCCCATCATTTTGTATGGATTGTTGGGATTATGTTTTCCAATGTGCATGACACCACTTTTAGTTCCAAGAGAGAAATAATATTATAGAAAAACTCTTTCAGATTGAAAGACAGGTGGATGGACCTCTGAAAATGCAGTGTTCATATTGCATGCTGTCAACAATTCCCATTTCAGAGCCTCTGATGTACATCAAAGATGAAATACAATAAGCAGAGAGCAATCTATATATAAAGTGCACACAGACTAAGAATCATATTCTCCACCTACTAGGGTTCAACGTTCTCCTTTCCATGGGATTTTTCATTCCCTTCAACCTCATGCTCAGCTGACATATTCAAGTCTAATCTTAGGTCTTTACCTGGCCCCCCGTTACTATGATATCTGAGGGTATGCCTACGCTGCAATAAAAGACCCACCGCAGCGAATCTCAAGCTCGGTCAACTGACTTAGATCATGTCTACACACACGACAAGATGATGTCGACCTGACATCAGCATTACAGCCACCGCAGTTATTAAATCGCTTGGCTCTTTGTGTTGGTGGCGCGCGTCGTCACCAGGAGAGCTTGTATCGATTGTATTGTCAGTGTGGGACATTGTGTAATGGCACCTGAAAGCCAGGAACAGTTGATGTAAGCAGTGCAGCATCTACACTGACCTAATTACATCAACCGTGACTTTATGCCACTCGTGGAGGTGATATTACTAAATCAGGAGCCAAATTTAAGTGAAGACACTTCAATGGCTAGGCTGACGCAAGGGAGCTTACATTGATCTAACCCTATAATGTAGACCAGGCCTCAGACTCACAGGGTTCGCGCTATGGAGATAAAAATAGCAGTATAGACGTTCAAGCTCAGGCTGGAGCCTGGGCTCTGATACCCTTCTCCCTCCCTGGATTTCAGAACCAGGGCTCCAGTCGGAGCCCGAATGTCTACACTGCT